GGTGCTAGTGTCCCCAGAAAGCAACTGACCAGGCCTCAGAAGCTCCCATCTATTTGTAACATTCAACTACCATGGGCCCTAAGGTCCACCCTACTAACTAGTAGCCCCTATTGTATGGAGGCTAATGGGTGAATGCTACAACAAAATACTTGGGCCAACAAAGGCAAAAAACAGGACAAGAGTGATATGAGGGTCAAAGGGTCAAAAAAATGAGTGTGCCTGATCGGGACACTGAGCAGAGCCCCCCGGGCTGCACCCACCAGTCCTCAAAGGCATCCAAGGAGGTGCTGGCCCCAGCCTCTAGCTCCCCCTTGCTGAAGATCTGGGAGGAGCTGGGCAGGGTCAGTTTGCCCCAAGTGGCACAATTTGCCCCACACCAAAGTGCACATTCAGGCACATGTGCTGAGGCACAAATCTCCGGCATAAATTTGTGCCACTGCTGTTTGAGCTGCTGCAAGCACATGTGCCTGTATGTGGGGATGCAGCCAATACCAGTTTCTTTTGGAAACGTTCTATTCAGCAGTGTCTCTTTTGAGGCAGCATTGTTTTTTCATTCAATTTACCAAACGCTATAGCTTAAGCTCCAGGCCTTGATTTGAAGTGTCATTGGCCTGGTGAGCATTCTTCTCATATTATACCTTGTCATTGTGTTGGGCCTATGCTCAAGTGCAGAAAGAATCTGCCTCAACAGTTCTTTTTGTTAAGGTGTGGAGGCTCTGTCATTAGGATGTTAATTTGAAAATACTGAGCTAAATTCTGTTCTCAGATGCTATCTTGGAGACACTGTTTTCTCTTGCACGGAAGGCAGTACTTGTGGCAAAGGTTTTAAACTTTCAGCACAGCCATTTCAGATGAAATCTCAGAAGACACATCCTGACTGTCAGAGCAGTAGGAGAGGGCAATAAGCTTCCTACTGAAGTTGTAGAATATTTTTCCTTGGAGATTTTCCAGAAGAGGCAAGGTAGGCATTTGTTTGCAATGATTTAGAGGCAACCAGTCTTGAATATGTACAGACTCAGATGATTCCTGAGGTCCCTTCTAACTCTGTGATCCTATTTTAAGTGAGCCAAAACTGGTCCCTCATTTTAAATCAAAACAACCAACTTTTTTTTTAATAGAATCATAGAAAATTAGGGTAGGAAGGGACCTCAGGAAGCAATGCAAACAGAAGATTGGAGGCCCCCTCCTGAAGCTGACTCCAGTGGGGGGAATGGCCCCTTTGCCTCCTGGTGCTGCTGCTGCCAAGGGTGGGGTGGGCCTGCATGCCCCACGGGGGAGGCTGGGTGAACCTGGCTGGGCTGGGGGTGGGGTGGCACATGCCTGCCTCTCCTCCCTGATCCCTGTCCCCCTCCCTGCACCATGCTGGAGAGGAGCAGGGCGAAGGTGTATGCGGACTGCCTGCTGCAGGCCTAGGGCTCTTTGCTCTGCTGTCTTTACTCAGAGGGCCCCGCTCCAGTCATCCAACCCCTGCCCACATGGCAGTGGGAAGCACAACTTGCTGGCCCCACTGCTGCCAGGTGGGCAGGGGGCACCCAGCGAGAGCACGGTACCTGGGGCAAAGGCAGCAGAGTGGAGAGCCCCAAGCCCAGAGAGAGCAGTCTGTGTCCACCCCACGCACAAATATGGGGAGCACATACCCCTCATGTCTCCCTTGGGGTCATGTGCAGCATCGGGGAGTAGCCCCCCCTGTATCCCCTAGATGAGCCACCTGTAGCTCCATCGCACTCCCTGACCTGGCCCTGGGTCCTATGCATTGCCTTGGCTGGGCAGGAGCCCTAGCCCCTGCCCCTGCCCCACTCCCTCCCTCACTGTGGGGGCCTCAATCTGCACCCCCTGCCCCTTCCTCCCCATTAGACTTACCTGCAGGGGGCAGCTCTCCATACTGCCTGGCTGTGTCCCTGACCAAGCCCCCTGCATCCCGCTCCCTGCAGTCCCAAGCAGGACCCCTTGCAGACTGGAATGCTGCCTGCCTTCAAGGGAAAGCCTGCCATCTCCCAGGGGAACCCAGGCATCGGGGGGGGGGCCTGTTTGGCAGGGGTAAGGGAACCTGCACCTGGGCCCCACTGACTCGTGTATTAATCTGCCTATGTCAGGAGGCTATCTAGTCCAACCCCCAATTTTGAAGTTGATTGTCAGCTTTTTAATTAATTATGTGTGTGTGGGTGATGTTTGGGTATAGGAAAAGTTGCCTTGTCATGGTCTGCAAATTGTTATTGCTTCCCCCAAACTGGGTGAAAAAGGGGACAGGGTTTTAGTCTGCAGGTGTTCTGTGGCAACTGTTCCTTTGTATACTCTTGCCCTGCAATAAATGAAAGCTACATTGTGGCAGCTTAGCTCAATGAAGGAGTAAATAACTACAAGCTAGCTTCCATTTACCATCTAGAAGAATGTGCACAAAGGCAGATACTGTGGAGCAGCTGACGTGGGCTGAAGTCTCCTTTCACCATGTATTTGTTTGTTTGCATGTCTATACACTTTTTTAGGTTTGTATAATACAATTCTGATTAGTAGTGTAAAAACTTGGTGAGAGCAAAACATGTTCTTATAACATGTCTTTTGTATGAAAGGTGAGATGCCATTCATTCAGTGAAATCACTAGCATCTGCTCAATTATCTTGCTGATGCTACTAACAATCTCAAATTTCAGCAAGAATAGTGGCTGCTACCCAAATACATTCTTAGGGCACTAACCATGCCAAGTCATTCACGCAGGAAGAGCTTTACACCCACAAGACGTTTTGCCAGCCTTAGCGGGACACTGCAAAGATTGTTTTGCAGGTACTAATCTCTTCCAAATTTCATGGAAGCTGAATTGGTTTAGCACTCAGGAACTCGCTGCATTTTATGGGAAGAAACCATAAATGAGCACAGTGAATTGTTATGTACAACAATCCAAAGTGTTATAAAAGGTAACTTTGCCTTATTACCATGCTGTAATGATGAAAAAAATGACCTCTACATAAAGAAAGCAAACATACAATTCAGACAGCCCTGGAAAAGATGCTTTTATATTATTAGAAATGGAAAAATAAAACTGGTTTTCACATTTTTACATTGTATAAAAACAGAATCAGTTTCGAATAATAAAAGCTGTCTGGATGGAGGCCTTTATTTGTGAGTAGCAACGGAGTATTAAATTATTGACAGCAAATGAGTCATAGTCTTTTAAGAACAGATGCTTCCAACAGACGCGTCAAACCTAGTGTCTAACTTATATTTAAAAAGTGATAATGTGAAAGCTTAACTGTTAGATTATGGCAATATAGGTAAATACCTCATTAAAATATGATGTCGAAAATATAGATAAGCAATTTAAAAATGTTATGGTAATGTTATGGTCATGGTAATACTGTTGTGGGAAACCTTAATCTTTACTGATATCTTCTATAACTGCAGTTTTGTGTAGTTTATATTAACTGATTTTTCACCATGTGAAAAATAGTATGGTAAAAAGGGATAAAGATTCACAGGGGAAACAAGAAATTGCTTTACATATAACTTAACAGGATATCATTGTCTAAAACCTATTTCAAAGAAAACATGACAGATCTCTTTCATTCAGCAGTACCTGTCAAAATAAGAAATGACTTCCTTTAAGATGCAAAGGAATAAATAAAGTTCCATTGGGTTTGGTGTCTGCATTTACTGTGCTCAGCTTTGCCAGTAAAAATAGGATGTATTCTGCTAACAGTGCTCAGGGTTTTCTGATGACAACGGCACCAAAACGTGGATCAAGTTTTTTGCTTTTGATCTGGGTGAAATTCACTCCTCCCACAAAGGCCTATACCAAGATTCTAAAAAATGAGGGGATGGCGTTAAACTGTTGAACTTACACGTGAGCACCCAAGCTACAGGTTTCAAAGAAGCCTAAAGGAATCAGGCACCTAGCTTCCACTATGGTCAGTGGAGTTGGGCACCTAGTTTCCTTCAGCTACTTCAAAAACATCAGCTCCAGAGGATTTAGAAGCCCAACATTAAACTTTCATTTTGAAAAAAAAAAACAGCTTAAGTATTCATGCTGAGTACAGGTTGAATGAGGGGACACTGAATGGAGACATTACCATTAACTGTTATAACTGAGTGCAGACAGAAGTACAGCTCCCCATTGTAACTGACAGCATTTTGCAGGAAGTGCTCTAAGTTACAATGACCCCCTGGAACAAACAGAAGTTCACTGTTGGTTCCAGGGGGCGGGGAATCTAGCTGCTAGTTGGGAGTCTGCAGCTGGTTTCCCTTAACAATAGCCCTTCGAGCCTGTAAAGTTTTCAGAATGGGAGCCCTCCACCCCTGCTCCAGTACAACTGGCTTCACCTCCAGCAGGGGCTGAAAAACCCTCAGACTGAACTCCCTCCACTCCCTTTTCCCACTCCCATTCTGAAAATAGCGACAGGCTGGCAGGCAGTGCAGACAGAAGTTACAGAAGATGTTTCATCATCATAGAATGAGGGGTCAGATTTTCACCTGATTGGCTATTTTTGAAGCTGTCTGCAGCCATGCACTTGTGCTTAGTCATGGGTATAAACTGCTTCCTGTGGCCAGATTGAGCAAAAATTGTCACTTCTGTCTGCACCCTTAGAGGCAGGGTATAGCACTCACACAGGGCAGAGGAGTAATAGTAATCTTTCTCTGTGCCGGATGTTTGTGGAACCATGGCCACTGGACCTGTAGAAATATGAAGCTGTGGTGTCTTCCTTGGTTTTGGCTGTAGACTACACTTGGCTTATCCCCTTAAGTGATCTTCAGCCGCAAGCCCACCTAGCCCATTTCACTGGATGCTGGAGGGGAAGAGATGACATTTCTGTATGGTTGCTTAGCCTGCTCACTCCCATGCAACCCCTCTGTGTGGTTTAAGTGGTAGAAGGGGCCTTCAGTCAGTCACCTGTGTAAGGGGTGAACTCCACCCCACTGGAATACTGCCTGCATTGAGGTACTTTTTCTTTGGTTATTTTATTTTTAAATGTGCAATTTTTTAATGTTTTAAAAAAAGAATATTTACATCATTAACAATTTCAGTGTCAACTTTTATAGAATATAACTGAATGTTTTTATGTGCATAGATGACTTATTTTCTTTGGATATCAGATATGAAACTGTTTTCAATACAGAGAACAATAAACCTGTTGCTACAGCTGTAGGCTTTTTGATCCAGGAGCTTCCCAGCCTTCAGTGGTGATGCTTGTCCCACAGCCGCGATTTCAGCCGTACGCCAAGCTTCACAGTAGTTGCTAACTAGTCGGATCCCATTTGCAGTTGAGCCATGCCACATTATTTTCTGAGGCCTAAAAATAATTTGTAAAGTTATTTTCCTGAAAAAAAACTTTTTTTTGGATACAATTCAGTCTTAGCCCTCTATCTATAAGAGCTATTCTCTGTTCATCCTGGATGGAAATTCACTGTAGACAGGAGGCAAACAATGTAAGAAGGAAGATACAGATGGAAACTGGAAGGGGATAGATGGAATGGAGAGGACAACAGGGAGGAGAATGCCTGGGATGTTTTAATTACCAGTCAAGGAGGGTGGCAGAAATAGAGGAGAAGGATGGCCCAAAAGAAGAGAAAAGGAGAAAAGTTAAATTATTTTTCTCATACTTTTAGCAGTCCATGGCATGTGAAATAGCTACTAAAGATATATTCCATGTAAAACAGTATATGCAATAGTGTGAACTCACCAAGCTGGATCTGCCATGACATTCTTCCCATCGAAGGAGTATATTGGAATCTGGATGTTGAACTCACCCCCATTGCCAGTAAATATGGATTCCCAGTTAGCGAAGAGTATTTCTCCCTGTCAATTTTAAATGCAAGGTGAATCTGATGTTCTGCACTGCTATTTGCCATGGCTTTTACTACTTTAGCGCAGAGGCCTAAAGGAATTCTATAAATCCAAACTCTAATCTACCTGTAAAAATACTCATAATTCCATTAGCCTCTTCATGCCATGATCTTGTACTTTAATCCTGGTTGACTTCATCCCTTCACTCTATCTAAAGCCTTTATACTAACAGCTCATGCACACGTGCCTCTGCCTTAGGCCTCTCCCCTTCCTGTCAGAGGGGTGTCTGCTTGGCTCATTCCATCCCTTCACTGTACTGCTTACATATCTGCTATTCTAGCTGACTCTCCACTCTTCTTCTGCATAATGGTGAAGCTCACTTTTCTGTACCTGAGAGGCCTTACACAAGTGAGTTCTTGCATAGCTCTCTGCTCTCCTCCTCCTACCACAACTTACAATGGGGCCTGCCTCTACAATACACTGAATTCCCAGTAGCAACAGTGCCGTAGTATCACAGGGCATAAACCATGATGGTGACACTACTGCACAGTAGTAACGAGCTACTGTGCAGCAGCAACTAAAAAAGACCCATCTGGGAATGGTACTGCGCAGTAACACCAGTTACTGTGTAGTAATTCAGTACTTGGTTAAGCAAGTACTAAGTGACTGTGCAGTAACAACTGCACAGTCTGCCACACGTGTAGACCTGGCCAGTGTGATTGAACTGGAAAATGAATTGAAAATACACAACTGCACTCAGTATAGAAAAAATGATACTACAGGAAGTCAGAGGGTGCAGAGTGAGGTTAACGTCTAACATCGTTGTAATCGTCTAAGAATTCATTTGAGAATTCTCCCTTCACTAGAAAACCTGGCTTTTGCTTGAAAAGGAAGCTGAAAGCAATTTGTTTTAATCAGTGAAAATTCTGGTAAATTCACAATCATGCTAGGACTGTTAATTGAAACAGGACTTTGCATCACAGAATTGTGCTTATTAAACTGCCTTCAATCGTTCATTTCCTAAAGCGGGAAATTTTCTATTTGAGGGAATTTTCTTCTCAGAACTCTGAATTTTCCCAGGGGATTTTTAAGTGAAAATATTCACCACTGTCAGAGAATCAGATGCATTTGACTCAGTCTCAGATGCATCTGAAGATTCAATGCTTATTCAGACATAGACATAGCTTTAAATGCTTTTTCTACCTACCTCAAGGTACCAGGTGGCTTGTGAACACTATGATGCTGGGGCAGATGGAGTGTCCCACAGGAGTGCCGGGGGGGGGCCGCACTCCATGTGCTCAGCGGTGAACCTGGAAGTGGACCGGAAGTACATCTGGTCCACTTCTGGGTCTGCTGGGGAGCTCTCCTGTGCCCCCCCTGGCTTGGCAATCGGCTGTGGGGGGACCCCAGGTGACCCCCAGACCCAGGACACACCAGTCGCTGAGCTGGGGGGTGGCGGGGGGGTGGGCCCTGCACACTCTCTGGTGGACCCGGAAGTGGACAAGAAGTGCTTCTGGTCCACTTTTGGGTCCTGTTGTTGAGCGTGCTGGGGAGCCCCCCCATGCTTTTGTGGGACACTCCATGTGCTCCAGCACTGCAGCATTCATGAGCTGCCTGCTACCTTGAGGTATGTAGAAAAAACATTTAAAGCTGTGTCTATGTCTGAATCACTGAATCTTCCTGAATTTCTCCAAATCGATTCAGAGAGGTTAAAGTGTCCTCTGATTTGATTCGGATTTGGAGATTCGGCCAATGAATTGGGCTGAATCTCCGCCGAATCAAATCAGGGACTGAAGCTTCGCGCAGACCTAGAATTTATACTTCTGCATGTTCTTCTTAAGACTAGTGCATGTATGCCTTCCTGTCTGCAAGACCATACTCCAGACACCAAGTCACCTTTTACTCTCAGATACACTGGTGGAAATTCAGAGAAACTATTAGGCACAGAATTTAGCCCATCATTCTTAAAGATGGCATACGTGCTCACCTTAATTCTCTAAACCCGGTGGGAAGACTAGAGAGTAACTGCCAGAGTGCAACTCTGAGAAATGAAGACTCTGGTAACCTTTACCATAAGGAAGTTCTTCCTGATATCCAGTCTA